AAAAATTTGATTTAGACGATATCCATGATAAAAATACTTATTTTGTAAGATTTGCAGTGTAAATCCAACGACAACAGCGAAATACGAATAAATGTAAATCTTATGTTATGTCATCTAAATAACATAAAACATTATGTATTATGTTTTACACGAACACATATGGGCTACTGCACGCGCACAAAATGCAATGGACAAGTGAAAATTGCTATTACGATATGTTTTCTAGATGATAATACGCAGTACCCACCTCGAAGTTAGTGTTGAACAAATTTGTTTCCAAAAAAATACAAGGTGTGGAATGTTCTGCCCATTCATCTGACCTAAATATAACAGAAAGTATTTCGACTGAATAGTTAAGAAATATATACATAAAAATAAGATATTTTAATAATTCAAATAAATTAAGAAAAGAAAATTACTGAGAGGTAAAAGAAGTTAGAAACAGAAGTCTGGTATACACAAATTTTTTAGCACAATATAAAAACGAGTAACTGTTTTGGACTGTTTCGCGGCGTGGTTTCAATTTACTTGAAATAAATCACAAGGTCCGAAGCTCGTTCGAAAAATTAATTTCGACGGAACGAGTTTGAAAGAGTGATGGAGAAAAACACGAGGGACGTGATTTCGCGGTGTGAATTTGTGTTTATTTTCAATGGTTACTGGTTGACTGTCGAACCAGTGGCGTTCTCGACTGCCGGAGGCGAAATAAAGTTTTTTTACAGATACGGAAAACGTTCCCAGCTAGGGGGTTACAATTTTTCTGGTAGGAGCGTTCAAGTGCAGAATTTTCTAAATGATGTATTTGGCCGTTGTAGAAACGGCCCAAAAGACACTTTTACTTTAGTCAATTAACCAGATTATAACCTATACATGATTTACAAAGTATGATACGTAATATTGAATATCTATATTTTAAATACAATAATATTGAACATATAGATAAAAAATTTGTGAATATATTTTAGTTGTCACGCTGTAAGCTATAGTCCGATGGAGAAAAGACTTCGCTTGTCCTACAAGTTATAATGTCAGAAAGGCCAGGAAACTGAAGGTTAGAATGAAGATGGCGACATTATGAGTTTTATTTTCTATCGTTACATCTCACTTCGTCGTATTCGGTGTCTCTTCCAGTTTCCCTGCCTCCCTCACTTTTTAGCTTTTAGGACAAGCGAAGTCTGTTTTCTCCATCGGATTATACCCTTAGTCATGTGACTAATCTGACAGCAACAGTAGGGATAATAGGAAAATCGCCGTAGGAGAGTATAAAGTGATAGTGAGGGTGTCGTAGTGAAAAGTCGTTCAGAATGACAATCTTGATAACATATTTCAAGGTTATTTACTAAGCTCTGGGTTAGGTTAGAAAAGGTTGTTTAGGACAATGACCTTGATAACATGTCTTAATGTCCTTGAAATCAGGGCCATTTTTAAATAATCACTATTATTTCTATGGTAACAGACAATACGGGTTTACCGATTTATTATTAAGTCATCCTATTGTGTTTGCCGTTTCGTATTATAGAAACTGTATTGTAACGATTAAACAGAGAAAGGAACAATCTTATCGTTATATTTTATATGCTGTAAGCCAATTTTGCAAAATTGAGTTATTTCAATTGATTCTCACGGACGTCTTTAAAATTATTAAAGATATAAAAACTAATTTGCAACGTATTAATTTATTGTTCCACATGAAAACATATGAAATTATTCAAATCAGAAACCATTAACCCCTTACCCTACAATATCATGTCACACTCGTGGTGAAGATTTCAAATAGAATTTAACAAACATAAATATTATTCAATTTGTTTAAATGCAAATTACATATTATTTCTCTGTTATCAATGATTATACCTTAGAGCACACGTTGACATAGAATAAGACTGGAATTTTTTCTTATTTCCAATAAATTATTAATAACAAAGTAAGTAGATCGTTCACAGTTCAGATAAAAATTATAGAGCAGGAGGTTAATTTAAGAGATATGGTTCTTCCAACGCTAATATATGATACTCATTGCAAAAATATGATGTTCACCGACTTAACCCATTGCACTGCGAATTCTTTTTATATTTTCTTTTTATTAATACTGCATTATTTGAAATATTGAGCTTGAAATATACTTCAAAGGGCAGCTAGATGAAGCAGTGCAAAGAATTTTTTTTACTAGTAATATTGTAAAAAGCGGAAAACAATTTAAAAAACATCAAGTGTGACTCCACATAGAAGTGCAAAGGGTTGAAGTTAATCTTATAAAGTCTTTCAAATTAGTTCACCCTAAATACAGAAATCTATTGAGTATAAAAATTCAAGTACTTACTAAATTAATGAATTTCTCTTATGCTTAATAATGTGTTATTAAATTTAATGAATTTATCTTTGATTTATCGTCTACTAATCGACCGAGGAAAAATTAATAACATTACATTGTGTCATGCCCGAAAAGAAGCATTACACTTTTATTAATTTTTAATACCATGAATAATTTCCGAAATGTTCACCAAGATCGATTTAAATGATTCATAATCTATAAAAAGAAAAAATCGATAACGTATGACACGTTGATCGCCGAACAATTTTACTTAGATTTGCAAAGAATTTACTGATAAAAATTGTGTAAATTCAACTCACGGAAAGGCAATTATAATTTATTACAAAGGAAACACCTTTATATATTAAAATGTATTATAAAATGACGTAACGGTACATATGCTAAAGGATAAAGTTATTAATAAAGACAATTACAATTTCAAAAATACTAAATATTAAATTTAATTTTATTACAATTTCAGTATTCACCATTACCATGTATATCTATTGGCTGTATTTGTACCTACCACAGGTTACGATACCTTCGACATGTTTATTATTCTACAGTATTCTTATAAAAATACACATAACTAACTTATTGTTTTTCGAATATTTTGTAAAAAAATACGTACAGTTCGCCTCTTCCGAACGTAGCGCCGGCGCAGTATGGGGTATTTGCCTCCCAAAGATAGTAAAATACATTTCCCAAATAAAATCGTGTGTATAAGGCTTGTTTAGTAGAATCTGGTATCGTTTTTAGTATTGTTGGAAAGAGAAGAGCATACTTTTTAATATAGAACAAAAATTGAGTGCTACTATTCATAATTGTAGTAGTGACAGCAATTTTTATTCAACATTGCTCGCAACGCGTCACGCAATCTTCGTATGTATCGGCATGGCATTCCCATTTTAAGTCTTGTTTAGTAGAATTCAGTGTCATGTTTGGTATCGGTTTTGGAAAAAACAAAGCATTTTTATATAGAATAAAAATCGGCTATTAATATCTGCAATTATGATAGTTATTGGAAATTCTATTTGGTATAAATAAAAATTTCTGCACCAATCACAGTTGCAGATAATAGCATATAATTCTTATTCAGTATTAAAAAATAGATTGTTCCATTTCCACCAATACAAAAAACAATTCTGAACTCCAGCAAATGTGTTTCAAAATTCAAAAAAATTCACGCCCATCCAAAAAGCACGTGACACACTATGAGCGACAGTGCGAATAAAAACTGCTGTAGCTATCCTAGTAGTAACTAGTAGCAACCAATTTTTGTTTTTTATTAAAGGTTAGGCTTTGCCCTTTCCAGTGATACCAAACGGAACACTGAACTTTAATAAACTCGTTTTTTAAATTGAGGATGAATATAAAAAGTGTTAAATAACGTATAATTAAACAAATCTTTATGATATGGACATGAAATTTGGTAATATTCAAATACATGCATAGTACACTTAATTCTACTTGAAATTATGTTTACTTGGAATTGTCTTTTGGAGGTTGGCTTATTTAAAGCTGTGCAATTGCGTTAATAATTAACAAATATGAACAAATTTGTGCCACATTATTTCCCAAATGTTTATTTAATTATGTGTATACTTTTCTTTTTTGGTTTTAGGGATATTTATGAAAAGGGACTTTTTACCGCATTTGAGAGGAAAATGCTCTATACTGCGCGTAAGATTTATAAGTGCACAGAAACAAGGGGACTCTTCCACTCATGATACTTGGGCAGCCTTGACTTTCGACATATGATCATTATTCACTAAAAAATATTTAAAACTTGAGCAGAGACTCAAAAGGCATTTGGAGAATTTATCAATTCGGGGCCTTCAGAATTCTATGCTAACGGAGTAGACAAACTTGCTTCGCGTTGACAAAAATGTATAGAATTGAATAGTTCCTCTTTCGATTAAAAATTTGCATTATAAATAAAGATATATTGTTTAAAAGTTGGAACACTAAAGCTGTAATTACGTTTGCACTCACCTAATACATGAACAATGCTAACTACCTCAACTGTAGCTAATGCAATGCAACCAAGTTCTTTGGACAATTTGATACTATGTAAGCATATGAAGCAAACCACCCGCATTTAGAAGTACATATATAGCTACTCACAACATATTGCCAGTTCCAACTATTAAACCCACAACCCGGAAACGGAAAACAGGAAGTTGTACAATACTAACAGTATCATCATATAAAGATGATTTACGTCGCAACGTGGAAGAATCTACATTCCTATATCAAGGAAATAGAATATAAGCAACGAAGCAAATTATCATCATGTAGCAATAGAAAATTTTCTGAAGGCTGTAAAGCATAATCATTATTAGGCGGTTCCAAAAAGCATCAAGTACATATGTGATTATTGTAAAATAAATCAAGTTATGACTATTCAAGTTATGACTGTTATAAAATGTTTCTATTAATGATTTAACTACAGTTTCATAACCTATTTTCCTCAAAAGTAACACAGTCACATATTAATTTCCGAATTTCCGTTAGTTTAAATTTACTTTCATCTAGGAAAAGTATAGAAGTCAAATGTTCTGAAACATCCACAATATTTACTGTTACACAGCGTACTTCGTATGAAACTTCTTAATTTTCATCATTTGATTTTTCCACTTATTAATACTCGGAGACTTTCTACATTAAAAAATAAGATGGGTATTCCATGTTCGTACCTTATCATCTAGGGTGCTAGTCTAATAAAATGAAAATTCCAGTTTATTTTCATTTTCGAATTAACCAGTGAACTGCATTTGACGAATATACACGTCATCTTAAAGCTTGAAATCATATTAATGCTTTCAGTGATGAATTATTTATTTTTTCAAAGAAACACGTAATTCTTCTTTGGTTTGTTTTGGTTTTTTGATTAAAATATACTCCAGATGCATTTGTTCTGTGTTAAATGAGTACACACTTCACTTTTTAATTTTATTGAGCGCAATCGAGAGATTTTTTCGAACTAAATTCTACAATCAACAGGTT